GAAAAAGCATGCTTTTGCGAGTGTTTAAGAATTTTCTTTTCGTAGCTTGCGTATCAAGAGAACAGCAAGGTAGGATAATGAACTTTTGTTGAATCAAGCTTGGATACGAAGTAAAGCGAGAACTAGATCCTGACAGTCCATTTTATTTTTCTTTTTTTATTTGATAACGCATCGATACCTCGAGTGGTGCGCGGATAAATTGAATTACGTGAGGCTCTCGACAATAAAATTAGTCGGTCAGGACGAGAAATATCCGCAATTTACTTTTATGAAGCTTTACCTTAGTGCACACGTCATATGGCGTCGTAATAATTGTCTGGAATTTCTAGATCGTTCTAGGAAATAAACCATGTCTAAAAGCAGTTAGAGGAGACATTTCAGTGATACCATCAATATTAATAATGAGTGCTAAAAATTATTTACAGTTACTGTAATCAACTTTTTATCTTATTAGCTTTTTATTTTATAGCAAACAAGTGCTCGAAAATTTAATTCTCTCATATTCGGATATTATTAATAAATAACTGCACTATGGTATTAGAAATGTAAAAATTAATTACAAATGTGTATGTATATGAGACAGAAAATAGTACAAAGTTATCGATTGCGTTGTTGTTGATTGACCACAGTAACTTGAGTTATTTTCACGCTCGCATATCTCTAATTCCACCATTGCACACTCGCACATTTATTTTTTCCCCTCGTAATATCATACATATTTCATAGTTCTGTCGGATATTCAACCGCGCGGCATTGTTTACGGAAAAAATCGGCGGGCATAAATTCGAAAACAGCATGGACCGTGTCGCTGCGGGTTACATCTGGTCCACACGGAGAAAATCCTTGCGATCGTTTTACAAGCTCGTTCGCAGCGTGTCGCTGTCGCGTATTCTCCTCGTTCGACGATCGCCGCGGCGCCATCGCTACGCGACGCCGCTGCAGAATAAAACTACAATTCTCCACCGAGCTCGCCATTTCGACGGGTCGAACAAAGCGATTCAGCAAAAAAGAATCGAGGTAGCAAGAAGGGAAGGGGGTGTAAAAAAATCGGCCTGTACGATCGTAGCCGGAGGCGTTTGCAAGTTTCAACGACATTCAGCCAGAACATTTAATTCACTTTAATCCTTTGCTGCCATGACTCGCGATCGAGCGCATAAATCGTTCCGAAGTCGACGAAAGTGTTGGAAAACGTTTTGGGCTAGGTTTCCCGATACCTTCATTGTTTCCTCGAGGGCAACATTGTTTCTTTCGGAAAACAACCTTTGATACGCGGTTGCGATCTTTCACGTATCGAAAAGCTGCATTCTCGCGGTGAACGAAAGGAAAGATTGAAAATCATTAATTCTTTATGAACGAAGGAGGAATTAAGATGCGATTTTTGATAAATTAAAAATGCTTGGAGCTTTTAGTAAGCTATCATATAATTTTCATTTTTGATATATTTTTTTATCTCTTTGAGATCGGAGTTTATTATTTGTACAGATCGCAAACTTATTTGGTCGATCTGACTACGTCCGAGAGATGTTGCAGAAATTGAAATCTAATAATATGCCATTCCCCGATAGTACGTTGAATCGATTTAGATACCATTTACGAACTATTTTAAGATAAAACTCCACTGCATGCCATACTATCATCGTAAGAACACTGGCGCTACAACAAATGCGTTATTTAGATATACAGGGCTTTATTCGCAATACGGAAAGTGTACGCAGAGTTTTCTGCTCTCTGTCAAACGATTTCGCATCTCTTCGCTACATTTATGATTCTTTTGTCTTCGTTTTCTTTTCGGCGAATAACTCGAGAAATTATTCTCTCCATTTGCCGAGTTCTACCTCGTTCTTATCAGACAAATGTGCAGTTCACCCTTGTCTCGTCATGTACGTGCGATACTTTTTTATAAATTTTTTGCTCATATAATTACTTTTATAACGTAGTCCTTTATTAATTTTCTGTTTAATGAATAAATGGACGGTACATACTGCGACCTCGAAATAATGCTTGGTAGCACAGCGCGTAATATGAGAGAAATAAATTGAAATGTCTGTCGTCAACCAACGTCGCTTGTGTGGCTTCATTGACGCAGAAAAGAGGAAATGAAATTTCAGAATAGACATGACACGACATAAGGTTTTCTTGTTCTTAAAAAATATCACTATTTGTTCATTGACTTTGTTATTTATTTTTCTTTGACTCAACAAAACACTTTATTCGTGCTTTAATTTTGTATTAATTGCCTTTCTTTGTCTTGTCATCTTTGCATTTTGCTGTATATAATGTAAAGTTTTTTTAAAGCCGATTTAAAGGATATTAGTATTTGTTGCAAAGTATTAGTGCATGTTCTGATATATTTATAACAAAATATTCGTTTTTAATTTTATCTGCAAGATGATGCATGTATACGTTTTTGATATTTTTGTTTACGCAGAAAACACGATTGAAATCTGATAGCTGCCAATTCTTTGTTTTATATTTTAGAATATACGTTTCATTAAAAAATGCTGTTTTTATATTCTATTTGCCACGTGTCGGCGCTAAAGTTTAATAAGGTTATGTGCCGAAATCCTTATATGCCAGATGTATCATAAATTGAAATTTTTACTTACGATTTTGAATAACACTAAACTCATCGAGAAAAAAGCATCGCGTAAAGATTGTTTTGTGAATTCTGTGGCTAGTATATATAATATTTTTTCTGATATTATCGCATCTTATCATAATGGCGCAGATATGATTATTTCACTGATTGCATTGTTTGAAAGAATATCGTAAACATTATATTTATAACGAATGACATTTAACAGAATATTTAATATAAAATATATAAAACATGCGAAAACATATGTAAGATAACAATCTAATAATATGTTGTAACCTCCCGTACGGCACAGAAACTTGTAGCAATATTGCTGCAATATTTCAACATTGCATATTGCAATGCAATGTTGCAGAGACATTAGGAAGGCTTCTTTTTGCAATATTACTTCAGCAATGTTGCAGAATTATTTTATAAATATTACAAAAAATGTCTATGCTATTACATTTATTATAAAAATGCTTGGTTAAAAAAAGCTCATTAATTATAACAATAAGAATTACGTTTATAATTTTAATTTTATATGCATAAAATATCGAACGTCATTATATATATATA